TTCCTTTGTTTTGTTATGTTTATTTTACTTTATTATGTAAAATACTGTGTTTACAGGGTGATTGTTTAGAGAGATTGTATTCAATAAGCTTTACTCACTGATTTGCTTGTTTGGGTTTTTTTGCAGCAATATATTTACCAGGAGGTGTGGAATCTGTTTCAGCAAATCAGTGTTAAAGCAAGCTCAGTTGTTTACTCTGCCACAAAAGACTATAAGGATCATGGATACAGGTAACACTTGGCTGTGTCCCTGAATTGTATGAATACTACATTGTAGTATTCATAGTAGTATAACATTATGCTACTTGAGTGATTTTCCCATTTTCCCCACATTAAGTTATAAATAGCACTCCTTTTTTTTTTCTTTGATTTTAAAAAGCATTATTTTAAAAGTATTATTTTAAAAATAGTAGCATTTCATAATGCGGAGATTCATAAAAATGGTTTTCACTGCAGGTAGTATTGATTTTTTTCCTTTTCTAAGGAGTTAATGTTTGTAGATGGTTGTACATTATCTGTAACCAGAATAATTAATATCTTAGCCTAGAAAAGCTGATGAAGTTCCACTGGGTTTTGTGTGTGAGTGGTGGTTTTGGTTTTTAATGTGGTCCCAGTGCATGTTAGGGTTTAAATCCAAACCATTAACAGTTTAATGCTCAGTATCTTAGTATGCATTGTAGTGTCTGTTATGACTAAAGATTGTCACTGACTTTGTTGATAGTTGGGGTTGCCTGAGTATCTTTTAATGTAGTATGTGAGTAACCAAGGATACTATTCACACACACAGTATCACAGTATGCTAGAGGTTGGAAGGGACCTCTTCGTTCAGTATGCTTTAGCATGCTGTCTGTCCCAGTGTAATCTCAGCAATCAGAACTCGCCCTAGTTCTGATTTTTCTGCTCAAGAGCTTTCCCAATCTAGAAACGCAGCTCTCTGCTGCTTTTCATCTGTAGCTGTATCAGGTACAGGAAAGTAATTTCCTTTTGGCTGTAATAACATCATAAGGAGACAAAGCTTACAAATAATTTTTCACTTAAATACTGATTGCATTTCAGTTATTAGTGATGTGCTACTCATAAAAACAAAAAACTCTTAGTGAAAGAATGGCAGCAGCCTTGTTACAAGAGTTGCTATCAGCATTATAAAGAAAGCACCGAGAATACAGAACTTTGAGGAACCTGCTGTTCATAACTGTTCTTTCTCCCCAGACACTGTTCTTTAGCAGTCATTAATGCCCTGGCTAACATTGCTGCTAACATTCAAGGAGAACACCTTGTGGATGAACTACTGATGAACCTGCTGGAACTGTTTGTTCAGCTTGGGCTAGAAGGAAAGAGAGCTAGTGAGAGAGCAAGTGAAAAAGGACCGGCACTGAAGGTCAGATGTTTGCTGGTTTTAGTTGTAAAAAACTCACGTTTGATAGTGATTTTATATACAAAATATACATTTTTATGTTTCATTAATTCAAATGTGTTTGTACTGATAAGATTTTCTCACTGGTGTGGTCTGGGAGCTGTTCCCTGCTTCTTAGGGCAGATAGGTATCACTTCCATTTGAAATAAGTACATTTTCCTAATAGTGAAAGGAACAATGTGGTGCTTCTTTTTAACCTATAGTGCTAAGTTCTTTATTCCTTTATGGGAAGGATGAACTCTTGGTAAATGCCTTTGAAATGAGTCTGTTTGCTTTGAAGATAGACTGCATTTAATCAGGGACAGCAACTGTTCTCTTAAAAGGGAGCTAACACATGTCTAGAATCTGCTTTTCAGGAAGTCTGTGGTGGAAGATCTCTCTCCATGGGTTTCATTGTTTCTTTTAACCACAGATAAGCATGTTGAAATTGTGAAGAGCATACTGTAAACATTGGTCTAAAATGATGCTTCTAAATTAGTTTCCACCCTCCTTCTTTTAGAGATACTTTTTCTCTGAGTTTAGGAGTCACTATGGGAGACCAATTGCTGCAGTGGATTAAAGCTGCTTGCAAATAGAAAAATATATGATTGATTTAACATGGATTTGAGCTAGGAGGCAGTGTTTCTTTATGATGAAGATACTGATAGCAGTTTTCACTAGAACACTCTTCACTCAATGTAGAGTAAAAGTTCTGAAAGGTATTCTGAAGAGTGGGTTACTTAACTTTCCGGAAGAGATCAAAGAGGTAAAACACTGTACATGTTTTGCTCCCAAACATTCTTTGATGGTTTGCTATGTCCTTGCTTCTCAGTATGCCTTTTTATGGACTTAAACTTGCTCACTAATCAGTGAACAAATTCAGTGGCTTATTCTTTTCTGTGTCAGATTGGATTTTTCAATCATAAAAGTGGCTTCTGAGAAACTTGGGGTTTTTTGGATACTGATGATAGTTAACACAGATGTCCCTTGAGTATGCCCAGGGATGGGATTCAATGCATCTTCTTCATCCTCAGTGCCATAGATTATCATAAAGAGGCTGATACCCCACTTCTGTAACAAAAATGCTAGTAGAAAAGTGAGTTTTCTACACTTATATTGATGTCCTATGCTGGGTTCTTGCTATCAGCTTGCACCTGAACTCTGTGCAGCAGTTTCTTGTGTGCAGTGGGCTGTCCTGATGCTAGCAAAAAAAAATATAGTGACTTTTTCCAGTTGTTTCTACCCCTTAGAGTGACTTGAGTGCTGTTCTAGTCACTTCTGAAATATTTAAGGGTCCATCTTTTGTTTTGCTTTATCTTGGACGCTACAGTATCATTACTGTTTCATCTGGGGGCTATTTGGCTTTGTTTTTCTCTCTTGCCCTTCCTTCCTTCTTCCTCTTTTTAATTGCTTCCTTCTGGTTTACTTCACTTCATGCAAAGCTGTACTCTGTTAGCGTGTCTGCCTTGCCTCTGCTCTGCGGGACCAGTGGTTTCTGTAACTGGTCTCTTGTAAGGAGAAAGGTGGAGGGATCTCTACCTCCCAAATCCAGTATGTAGGAGTATGGGAGGTAGGGCAAGACCTCAGAGAGCTCTCTGAGCGTGGTTATCTGTGCTGTCACTGTTTGCCTCATCATAGAAGGTGAGAGACAATGTCCTGTATGCGGTGGATGTTTTCAGTTCTCAAACACTGTATTTAGCCAAGAGCAAAAACTCGTATATAGAGTACAATTAGAAAGTCCTAAGAAGTCAAAGGAAATATGTATTTTCCTTATGCTTCCATTTCAATGGAAAAGGCTGCTCCTACTGCTTAAATAAACTCTTGAAAATTGTGTCTTTTATAAACTTGTCATTTTTTGCTTCATTTTGGAAGTCAAATGAGACTGAGTAAACATTTGACACTTGTCTGTGGCCACCCATTTAATATCAGCATTTTTCTTGTAGCTCTTGAATGCCAGAATAGATGTGATATCAATGAATATTCCCCCTCATTTTAGCTAAAGGTATAATACCTAACTTCCAAACATAGACCTTGTGCTGGGAGAGAGAAAAAGAATCCCGGTAGTCTGTGAGGAGCCACCTGCAAAGCTTTGCTGAAAGACTCCAGGGTGTGCCCTGAGGAAGTCCTGTGGATTTCTAGGATGCTCTCTTGGCCACCTCGTGCACATCTGTTTTCGAGATATAGAGTTGTAATTGGCAATCTATGTTTTCATTTGCATAGACAGTAGGAATGTGTGATGTCTTGTAGCAGGTATTTAAGAAATGCTTTTGTAGATGTTTCGATAATTTCCTTTTTCTTTTCCAGGCCTCCAGTAGTGCAGGAAATCTGGGAGTGCTTATTCCTGTTATTGCTGTGGTGAGTATCCAATGATCGGGTTGTTGCAAATGGAATATTTCTCATATGTCAAGTATCAGTGCTAACTCATGGTCAAATGGTTTGATTAACAACTAGTGCAGAAGTAAGCATCCAAGAGAAATGTAGTATTGTGAAATGGTATTTCTTGCTCTGATAGGGGGAAAACAGTTTTTTGTTAATGACATATTTCAAAATGATTACTGCTTGGTGATTCAGGATTATTAAATTGTTGCTAGTTGTGAATTCAAGAAATTCATAAGCTAAATAATTCTGCAGGGGCTATTTCTTTGAGTAGTGTTTGGCATGTAATTCCTTGCATAGTGAGAAAAGATTACTGCTTGTTAGAGACTTACTGTAAAAGTTATGGAAGCACTTTCCTGTTTGGAATTTTTATTGATGATATATCTGTTCTGAATAGCTGGTGATAACTGTATTTTTCTTAACCAATGTGACCTTTAAATGGAGTCAGATAGTGCCAGAATCTGAAGCAAGAGTTAATGGTTACATTATGGTGGTTGAAGCAAATATTTGACTTTCTTGCACAATGTATGAAGATCATGAGTTTTGAGCAGTAGCTGATTTGCTTTTCTGCTTGACCTCTTTCCCTTGAATAATTTCTGCTACTTAAGGTCTTAAACCCCCATATTTCAGATGCTGCAGCTGACTTAATTCCTGATAAAATAATTAAATGTAGGGCATGAATATTTAATCTTATGAATATGCTTTTCTTTTTGCATATAGATAAACCAATAAAATGTGTATATGGACGCTAGTGATTTCTATTGTGAACCTTCAGTACTGAAAATTGTACCCCAGATGGTGGGCTTACAAGGAAGCACAATGTGAGGCAGTAGAGACAAATATCTGAGCTTCCTATTCAATATCAGTTCGTCATCATCTTTCATCTAATACTGATATGTCACTGGCTGCCATATTAAAAAGCTTTGTGTATAGGGTGAAGTTAGGTAATGTAAAATACCCAGGAGAGGTTTTGGTTTCTGAGACTGGTCAGGTATTCAGGATTTCCTTATACCTATTTATTATAAGGAGACATCCTAGCACAAATTTAGAGCTAAACCTCAAGAATCCAGATAGTCTAAATGTTTTATTGATTACATTTTATACACTGTAGAACACAAAATGTAAGTTACTTTGTGGTATTTTTTTTTTAGTACATTTGTTTCAATACATGGCACTAACCATAATTATCTACTGCTACGAGTCCATTCATATAAAACTACCTGTAGATAATATATTTTCTTTTGATACCAGTGGCTTTTGTATTAGCTAACATGGCAATAAAAATTCCTTTATGGTACTGGTATATTAACATGTAGTTATACAGCCCAGGTGTAACAGTGTGTTGGAGATCTTCTCTGCTTTTAGGATTGGGCTGGGTTGACAACTCTGCCCATAAACAGGAGGCAGCTGGTACGATGTTCATAGATCAGAAACAAAAAGGGGCGGTCGACAATGAAGCGAATCTGAGTGGAAAGAGGCATGAACCCAACGTTGGTTATTGCTCCAGCCTCTGTGCCTTCCTCATTCACAGTTATTGTGCCTTGATGGTTGAACTGTTAAAGCAAACAAAAAAAAAGGGGATAAATAAACAAAAATGAAATTGAAGATCTCTTAAGTACTCTCAAATTATCTGCTCACAGCCTTCCCCCCCCCCAGCTCCATGTCACGCATGTGGCTCCCTTGTGACACTCTTTCTGGTAACTCTTATATGGCAGCAATCCTTTGGTTTTGGTCTGTGAACAAGACTGTTCCTGACTGGCCATAACACTTCTTGTGCCTTTGACATCTTGTTAAACATGTACCTCACTGTAAGAGTAGACAAGTGCATACAGAGAAACCCACATCACTCCTCTGTCTTCCAGGAAAGATGAGGAAAGAAAAAGCTATTTTAGCTTACTGTGAATTGTTTTTACTGTTGTCATGTTTTCAGGTGATACAGTTAAATCAGAAAGGAAATGAAAAGAGGAGAGGAGTAAATACCCGGTCAATGGTGACTTTCTCATCCGATATACCAGAGTAGTCGCCTTTGTCATTAAACAGGTCTTCTATTCCCATGGATCTCAGATAACCAACCAAGTTATAACTCTTCTCCAGCTTAAATTTAGGCAGAACCACTTCTCTTGTTCTAGTAAAAATAAAACCAAAAACGAAAAATCATTGAGAAGATACTTGCATGACTCCTTCGCTTTAGATACCTGTTGTGGTTTGGGTTGTTTGCTGTCTTCAGCAAGCAGGACACAGGAATAGACAGGACTGCTCAATCTACTTTTACTTTCAAATCTTGGAAATCATTACTTTCAAGCTGTGTATTTTAAAAATAATTCCCCTCCCAGAACTGTTAGTTTGTCAATTTGGTGTTTCACTTGCAGTGATTTACAGGTACACAGCTTTGAGCAGTTCAGTGCATGGTTGGATACGCTTCTAATAAACGTCCAACTGTCAGATTTTCTGGAGTACTAAATCGGAGATTTGTCACTTATTGTATACAATAGAATTAAGTTGGCTTCCTGAATAGCCCATCAAATCTGCCCTTTTAATCTTTCTGTCAGGTCTGAAGACGGATACCACCCAGTCTGTCACCTTGCACAAGAGAGGCTGTATAATTTTTTCTCTCCCATAATTGTGATGTCTGGGGTTGATGACTGAGCATGTGCCTTTGCTCAAGAGATGTGTTGAAATGCATAGTGCTGAAATGAGCATAGGCGGCTTTTCATACGATGGCGATTATTCTGCACAAATAACCTGTTATTATTGTGCTCCTGGTTTCCCTCCTCATTGTAAACTTCATCAGTAAGAGTTTTTTCTTTAAATCTGCAACATTAAATTCTTAATAGAAACAATTTTGGAACTCTGTTGGAATTTTCCATCTCAGTCATTGTTGACTTCTTGACAGCATTTAAATCCTGACTGATTGCTGGTCCGAATTTGTAATTCAGTAAATCCATCTTTTGGGGGGATTTATTTAGGTTAAGTGTTTTTAATCACAATATCATGTTATCTTCTATGCTCTTTACTTACCCTTGTCAATCTCATCAAGAAAATACACTAAGGCTTTAACAAGATGTACTTTTCAGCAGATACCTGTTTGTCATGCTCTTCTGCCATTTTTCCACCACTTGAGGTGTTATCTGCTTTTCTAGGGCTTTCATGCCTGAAAGTTTGTGTGGAAGTACAATCAGCATGCTGATGTTCCCCACGAACGGGAGCTGGATCACGCCGCAGTCTAACTCAGGATCTGCAGCAGCTAGGAAGTTCCCTTTAGTCTGCATCATAGGGACTTTTATTGTTTGCTTCTCATTCAGTCGGAAGCTCCTCTTCATAGTCATTTCCACTGGAAACTTATTCTCCCAGGTTCCTGTTAATACAGGGCAGAAGGCAGATAAAAATACCCGAGATCCTTGTTTAATAAAATATTCTTACATTAAGTTTTAATTCATGTGCATTGGGAATTACTGAAGGAGATTGTTGATTTCAATTGAGAAGACAAGTTTTAAAGTGACTTTAAAATTCCTGGGTTTTTTAGCATAGTATTTGTCTGATTTGAGTGCTTTGAATTATAAAAGCAAAAATTACTCGAACTGGAAATCTGGAAGAGGCTGGTGTGTACCATTGTCTTGCTATGAGGAACCTAGACATTACAAAGGTTAAACAGATGGAAGACACTTGGCAGCGCTTGCACCTAGTGGAATAACCGGCACAGCTGTATTTTCTGAGAGACCTGATACTTGAAACCCACACAGAAGCACGGTATTGGGACCTCAAGCTAAGTAATGGCTGGTTTAGTTTTGCATAAAGTTTTAAAAGAGATGCTGAAGGCATTACCTTGACTTAGTCCATTCAAGCCAATTAACTTTCTGTCTTAACACATCCTGAGGAGTTTCTTAATGACCCAGATCGATGTGATTTCAACACGTCTGCAGGAGCCTTTCATCTGACAGGTTTATGCCCAGAAAATGCAGTTCACTGTATTTTGCAGACCAGAGAGTCCATCAAGGTTTGAAGCTTTCTATGTGAAGTTTCTTTGGATACCCCAGATGTTTATTGACTGTGTAAAGAAGGTGCTCTCTTAAAGCAGTATTCTTACTGATCTTTCTTCAGAACCATGGCTCTGGAAAGAACATTTCTTCCTTCATGGGCAGACAAAGCTAGAATTTTATAGTGGAAATAAGGTTCCTGATATTTCCTGTTATAACTCTGGATTTTAGGTCACCATTGGCAGATGAGTACATGGGGAATGTGGCTGCAACTGTGTGGAGAGACTACGGATTTAACCTTGATTGGTAACCTTGTTGTTAAACAGTTGCAAGTAATTTTGAGGTCTGTAATCTGACTTTGCCAAATCGAAGTAACAGAAAAAGCCTTTAGTCCAACTTTAATTCTAATAGTTTCTTCATATGTTGAGCTGATAGGGAGCCGTTTGAGAAATGATCAGACTGTGGTTAATATGCTGAAGGGAAGGGGATGTAAAATGGATTATGCTGTTCCCAAACAAATTGTCTCACTTCAGGAAAAGCCAGTATCGCATATTGCTGTGCTTCAGGGAACAGAATTCACAGTCACAGGACTCAAGCTGCTGTGGGCCAGGGCAGCTTCAGCAGCACTGTCAGCACCTGAGGAATCAGAGACTTTTGTCAGCTCTTCCTAGCAGAAGAGAGGAGCTGGGGAACTTTTTTCTTGGGTTCAGCTTTGCAAGCATGTTTTTGTCTTGTGGTAAAACACTGTTCTCCAGGGGGAGGCTTGTGGCCTTCTGGGGTCTTCTGAAACCACATGGCACTCTCTGACTTTCATGACTTCTTGTTTTGAATCTTCCACCAAGATGTCTTTGGGACCCACCTGCAGTGGCAAATGTTGTCTCCACTGATGGAATTCTCTCTTGTGTTCATGACTAGAATCTCAGAAAAGTAATTTTGGACCTGTCAGAATCTGTCAGTTCTCAAAAGCTGCTGTGATCTATCTTGGCTAAAATACCCGGCTCCTACTTGATAGGGATCTCATAAATGATTGTTCAGATCTCTGCTGAATGGAGGGTAGGTCTCAGCTGGAGGTAGATTTGACACAGACAAGATTAAACTTGCTGCTTACCAATGTGAATGGTTTCCAATAGTTTCTTGATGGTATTTAATGTAAGAGGAGCTTGAGGCTTCATGGTGGTTGGCAGGTATCCCATTACTCAATTACAGTTATTCAGCACAAGCATCACTTGTACTGAGCATCTCTGTGTATCTGAGAATACTCATAGGTTTCTTAGCTCTGAGAGTTTAACAGAGCTTGTCTGCAATGGTGCAATCAGTGTTAATATTGTAAATGGAAAGATGTGAGGAAAAAGCTAGCATGTCTAGGAGGACCAGTGGGGAAACTGGGAATCCCAGGAGCAGAACTTGCTTTTAAAAAGTTTAGTTCTACTCAGAATTACCAAGAGGCTGTCACTCATTAAAGAATGAGAGACAGAAATAAAGAATAGATCTTTTTGGTTTTGAGGTTTGGAAATTACAGTCTTCAGCAGACACCACCAAGGCAATTTGGACTCCATGAGCAGAAGAAAAAGCCAAAAGTCTTTCTGATCTTGGTGACTCAAGAGTTCCAGTACTAAAACTATTCAGTTTTGGTGGAGTTTTTGTGGTTTTGAGATAGCAGAAGTATTTAATAATTTCAGACTAAAGCAAAAATGTATTTTAAATTTTACCAAATCATGAAAAAAATTATTTGCATTTCACTTTGCATTATTCTTTTCTTAGGATGGTCTAATGGACAGTACAGCCATGTATTTAGTAAGATATAATCATCAGAGGTGTACTTAAGGATATAAATAAGTCCCTTTTGGATGGTACTTCAAACCAGAGGAATATTTGGTTCTTATGCTAATAACTGCTTCAAATCTTTTAAAGAGACAAGTGGCATTATTCGAGGAAGTAACACCTTGCAAGTGAGTGGGAAATGGTATGTTTCATTAGCTTAGAGGAATGGTATTCCTATAATGAAATCCTGTGAAGGTGTAAGACAGCCCTTGAGCATTTGTTTCCTGGAAGCGGGATGTAATTGACAAAAAGAAACTCCTTCATAATCTGTGGAAAGGAGTATGTTGTACTCCCAAACACTGTTATCCTTTTGTGCTAATCTGTCCTTTACCAGTGTTTTAAGTCACTTTGATCTGATTATTGTCTTAGTCAGTAAGAGAATTTCCTCTTCTTCCTCAGTTCCTGTTGCATTGGCACCTCCCACCCCTGGCTCATTTAATACCATTTTAAAATACCATTATTGAAAGATTCACAGACTTTCAACCTGAGGCAGAAGAGCAGTGTTGAAAATTTCACCACAGACCCTTAGTTTAAACGTACAGAAATAGAAAATAAGGGTGTATAGTAAGAATGTATTTACTTCAAGCTGTTCAGGGATACATGTAGGAGCCCATATCAGCAGACAGTTTATGCTGAATTATTCTGAGTAGTGAATGTGTTTGGTTTTAGCTGTAGGAGAACACTGTTTTGGTTATATTCCTCAGTCCCCTGTGCAGGCTTGTTGACAGGGATCGTGATCTGATTATATGAAAAAACCCCATACTTGAAGCTGAAATTTTTCATGATCATTCCTATGAATCTTGAATATTTTGGAAATGTTAAATGTTTTAACTGAAATCAACCTGTACCATTTCAGTGAAGCCAATAACTTGAAGAAGGACTGAATGTGACTAATAACTTGCACATGAATTAATACATCACTGCCTGAGACTCCTACAAAGCTTATGATTTCTGAGGTTATTCTGCATTCATATGTTGTTTTTTAGTCTCACTTAAAGATTTTTGGCTGTGATAAGCATTTGCTGTACTTGTACAATACCCACTGACTTCAGGGTGTGACTGGAACATCAGTGTCCTACAGAAAACTGTAAAAGTGGGCTAATAATAGAGATTCTTTTTAATGAGGGAATCGGTAGGCTTCTTTGAAGTGTAGTCTAGATTTACGTTCAGATTGGGATTTCTACCGAAGTATGCAGTGAATTGCAAACTGAGAAAATCCATTGCTAAGATTGAGATAGCAGATTCTTACCTTTAAAGTAGAGACAGTTAAGAATCATCATCAATGTTGTAGGGTTTACATTCACAAGAGCTTCTTTTATTAATCCTTTGGTCAGCTTCAAGATGCGTTCATTGGTTTTAGTTATGAAGCTGGGATCTGAAAAATCAGCTGGTTGAGCATCAGCAAAGTAGTATGTTTTTGTATTGTTTCTGAAGTCATTCAGAATAGAAAAGTCCTTCTGAATATAAAGATCATTGACAGACCTCAGTGTGTAACCAAAGTTGCGCCTGAAGAGCCGATGAGTGAGCTTGCGGAAGAGGTTATGAACGGTCATGAGCTCGTATTTGGTGCTGGCATTAATGAAGTCCTGAAAGCCAAGGACAGATAATACTTCCTGCTGAGTTTTACCCTTCAGACCCAGAGAAATCATAGCCATTGCAGTGGAAATACCAACAGGAGCCATGAGAATATTATCTGAAGAGTTGGTCTTTTCTGCCACGCTGCGGTAAAGGTTGAAGCCAAAGTTTGCGTTGAGGATATTGAGGCGCTGGATTCTGGTTTTGCCTTGGAATAGTTCAAGTATATTTCCTTGCTGAATTTCAGAAACTATGTATGGGGCAGCATCAATAATGTCACTGTAGTCGTCTTCACCCAGTATCTTGTCAAGATCTAGGTAGTCCTCTTCCTCCTCCTCTTCAGGAATCAAGTCATTAGTGATAGTGTTTTCTCTGTGGAACTCCAGTGGTAAATTTGGCATATCATAGGTGCCATTTTCATGTGGCTGTGCATCTTTAAGGCTTTCAAAATGCTGAGTGAAGTCCTTGACTCCACCAAATGTGGAGGTTATGACAAGAGCAAGGGCAAGCAAATGAAATAGAAACTTCATTCTGACAGATCAAAACCTGGAAGACAACGTAACAGTTGAGAGAGCAGAGGGTAATTGAGTTTTAGTTACCTATTGCCTAACTTTAGTTCCCTGCTGAGCTCTGTCAGCAGTGGGTCTATAGTTACCTTATTTGACAGCATTTTTTTAATGGAACAGATCTAAATAGGTGGTTAAATCTGTTTTACTTACAGATCAATCAGTAAAAGCAGTTTTGCTTACATGATGCCTCCATCCTGCCAAAGAATTGGTTGACCTCCTCCCATACAAGTAGTTGTTATGGGCATGTTTCAGCAGTAACAAACTCATTACCTAAAATATGTGGGACTCTTTATTTATAACCCCATAACACTTGAAATATTTACTGTGTTACTAGTGTATGCTAAGAAAACGACATTAAGTTTGAAGATTCCAGCTTGATAGGAGGGACTAGGCATCCACCACAGGAGCATACCAGAAGGCTGAGATGTCCTGAAGAGTTAGAAAAACAGACATCCTGTAGCTACAACAAAAATTGGAGTTTTATGGGAGTACTTTTGGAAGAGCAAGGCTAAAATTTGCTAGAATAAGGGAGATCTAGGGAAGTAACACCAAACCTGGAGCAAGATGGGTATTTGCACTAAACACCGTTAGTGGGACTGCTCTGTGGGAAACGTTAAGGCATAACACGTATCCTGGCCTACTCATGGTGTAATTCGGATGTGTAAACTCGGTGTCTGTGCATGCTTTCTGCAGCTGTGTGCACTCATCTGCTGCTTTTATGAGAAATTGGCTTGATTCTGATTTTTTTATTCTGTTTTGTGTCAGTTTGCTTTTCTGTAGCACTGCGCAGCACGTAGTGCTCTCTGCTTGCTTCATTCTGTGAAGTCTGTGTAGGTTCCTAATCAGAGCTTTGTTTCTCTACATTTGGTGTTATCCCAATGGCAAATTTCTAACCTCACCTGAGAATGTATTTAAGTAGAACCTCCATTAAAGGAAAAGTTAATCTCTTTTTTTATCTACTGAGTATTGGACCATTACATTTTTAAAGATAGTTTTAAAATCAAGAATTATCTTAGATATTTGTAGTTTGAAGAGAATGAATCGATCTTACTCAGCTGTAAAGCACTGTTCCAAGAAGTGGGTCTGAGAGACTTTTCACTATAATATTGGGTTGCAGTAATAACAGTGATCTTAAAAAGATATGAAAAGTGTAATTCCTTTCTGTGACAGTCAAATAAAGACCAAAATGTCAGTATTCAGTAACTCTGTATCATCTGAAACTGAAATGCCAGGGACTTGGCTTCTGCTCAAACTTCTTTAGAAAATAAGACTTTATAAATTTCTGTTAATAGTACTTTTTGGAATAAAAAGGCAGTTATTTACAATATAAATTAGAGCAAAACGTTGAATAGAAATGAAACAAAAATCTTACAAGGTGTTGATTAAAATGCTTTTTAAATTAGGAAATAGTCCAAAGAGCTGTTCTACAGAAGTGAAATAAATAGGTATACATACCTGTACCTCAGGGAGTAAACCCAGTGCTTGAAAGAAAACATTTTCAAGCACGTTGTAGCAGGACTGAAGTAACTGAGCTAACAGGTGAATATTTAAGATTCTCCCCCCAGACTCATTTGCCTGAAATCCTGAAACAATTTAAGGGGATTATCCCATATTAACAAAATCACATTGTTTTCCAGCCCTGAAGGATCCATAGAAGGTGCTCTTTAAATGGTTTTACCCTGTGAAATGACTCAAGTCAGCCTTTTTCTTACTGTTTCTTCACAAATTCATGACTTTTTCTTTCCCCGCCCCCAGGAGTCAGGCCCTTAGGGCTGAGGTGCTCGGTCCAGTAACCACTGCTAAATGCTTTCTGCTTTTGGCATGGAGGAATTTGCTTTCTGTAGTTCCCAACTTTGCATTCTCGTCTTCACCAAAGTTCAGTTCCTGCTTAGCTGCACTAAGATAGTCAAAGCTCGCCTCCGCTCTGCAGTATACGTGTCTTTGGTCAGATCTAGCTAAAATAACAGCAGATGAAAATGAAGCTTACCTTTAAGCCACTGTACGGGAAGGATGTGTTGAATAGCTCAAGTAAGAGGAATGGCAGGGTTTAAAGCTGAACTTTGACGCTAGTTTTTTGTGTATCTCCCAAAGTAAACATTCTCTAAACCAAACACTGCTAAACTTACTTCGTCAGCCAAAATCCCTCCCTTGCCTAGTGATCTCTGCTGAATTGTATGTTGCTTGTTGAACTACTTTTATGGCTTTGCAGGTACTTGTTCACTTTTGAGGAAGATCTTTGAGCAAAACTTGTCGTGTATGTAAGGTTTCAAAGTCAAGCACACACATAAACTTGACTGTTGCTGACCAGTAAAAGCCATGTCACTGCTATTTTGTGCTGAAATGGGGGGGGGGCATCTTAGTGCAAAAACGGACGAGGCCTCTGGTTGTGATGGTCAGGCTTCTTCAGTCAGTGCTACAGTGATGTAAACATTTGTGTTGCACAAGCAACTTTTTTCCATGGTGCCATTCACCAGCTTTTAAAGGGATTAAAGGGATTTATTCATGTTTTTCTTTTTAAATGAACAATCTGCCTCATGATTTATAAATACGCCCAAAGTTGGCTTTATGTAAGGTTTCATTGAAATACTGCTGGCTGAAATACTTCTGGCTTTCATACCCCAAGGGAATTAGTGTACATTGGGAGAAAACTTTTTAAGCTAGACTAGAATCTGACATTTTCTTAATAAAGTTCACAGTAATAATACACAGTCGTATTGAATAAAGCTTGCTGTTCAGTGAGCTATTCTTACTTTTTAAACACTGCTTGGACTTCTGATACTTTTTAGGATAACACACCATGATGTTTGTTACATAAATTTATCTGAAATTGCATATCGTGTTGGCTGGGAGGGAAGGCTGTGCTCCTGCAGTGGAAGCAGCTGTTTGTGCAAAAAGTATCAGAGTTTTAAGGAAAAAGTGTTGAAAATAATGCTCTTTTACTTGCTTGTTTAGATAGTAAATTCTTCAGAACTGATGTCATTGTGTGCGTGGGTGCAGACAATAAAAGATCCCCAATTGGTGCCTCAATGTATTTCCACAAAGCCAATAAACAATAGCAACCAGAAGTATGTTTGACTAATATTTATTTAGGTTTGAGTTCCTTTGCACTTAGGCAGAGCTGCATGGCATTGTCTCCAACACAGTTTAAAGGATCATGTGGCCTCTTTATCTCTGCAGTTGATAGTACACTAATATTATGTATTCTCCTCAGAGGTTACTGTGTCAGCATGGTATTATTCCTGTGTAAAACAATCTCAAAAGTTAATATTTCAGATAATTGTAACAAGATCTAACTTTCTTCAGTATAACAATAGCATTATAATACTGTTTTTCATAGGTGCCAAAGAATATTACCTTTGTAAATCGGAGGTGCATGAATTGATTCCTTAGAGTGAAATTAAGTTATTATAGCTCCCACCCTTCTCTGATGTTAATTTTTGTTTCTTTGGTAGCTCACCAGACGCTTGCCACCCATCAAAGAGGCCAAACCCAGGCTGCAAAAGCTGTTCCGTGACTTCTGGTTGTACTCAGTGCTGATGGGATTTGCTGTGGAAGGATCAGGTAGTGTAAATTCTAAGAGAACATTGCTCCTCACAGTTAAACTCCTGACAAGTATGCATCTAACTCTGTGCAAACCAGTCACAGTAGGCTGAAGAAAAACTACAGGCACAATGACACTAAAAACTGAACAGCTAACGTGGCACTTCTCTGACTGGATTTCTTTACATCTCTGGTGGTTTGCTATGAGATTCAGCACAGTACAGCTTGTGCTTCATTTATTTCCACAGGTTAATAGCCTTAGTTAAGTATGAAATGGAGCACTGGACACATAGGGTACAATGGTAATCAAGTAGAAACTTCTTGTCCAGTGAGAAACTTGACTTGGAATTATCTAAATATGTTTATTATCACTGGAACATGGATCACGTGTATTGAGTGTTTGTACTTAAGTGCATGAAAAAATGACCAAAAGTAGTGCCAAACTTGATAGTGCTGGTTGATTGTGTGGGTCTCAATGTTATTCTTCTCCCTTACCCCACCTTCCTCTTTATACTTTTGCTTCAGGTCTTTGGCCAGAAGAATGGTATGAAGGTGTATGTGAAATTGCCACCAAGTCTCCATTACTCACGTTTCCCAGCAAAGAACCACTTCGATCTGTTCTTCAGTACAATTCTGCCATGAAGAATGACACTGTAACTTCTGTAAGAATTAATTTCTTCTGTTATCTCCTTCATAGTGTCTGTCAATGTTGAACGATGTGGTAACCATGATATACTGAAATTGCACACTACCCCTTCAGCATGCCTTCTATTAGTGGAAAACAGCTTTTTTTTTTACTCTTATGACAGCAGTGTACGTGTAACTGGCTTGGGTTTAGTTTCACTGACTGTTAATACAAGTGTTTAGAGTGGTAGCTACCCTGTTTTGATTAGGTGTAGAAACCAAGTCTTTGTAGAGATGGAAGCCTTTTAATAATTTTACATCAGTTTTGTATCAGACAGTCAAAATTTGCACTGTTTAAAAGAAATCAGCAAGCTTCGGAAGGAAGCAACGTATTCAGTCTTTCAGAGAAATATTAAGTGAACTTTTTCGCTTTTTATGCTCTGGTTTGGTCCTGGTATATTTTTTTTCACTCTAGTGTTTGCATGATACATCTTGTCAGAGGATTATTTGTGGTAGCAGTAAAGTGGGTAGAAGAGTTCTAGCTGATGACATGTCTTTGTCTGGCTCCCAAATAATACAGAAATCTGCCTTGTGCCTGGATACTTAGTTCTGTGACATCAAAGAGTAACATAACAGAGCCATGAAGTTTCAGAAACTGGACAGTATTGATGTTGATCAACCTTACATTCCTTCAGTGTAGGAATTGTATTTGTTCATTGGTATGACTGCATGGAAACTAGCAGTTATTTCAGTAGGGAGCTCAACTCCAGTGTTTATTTCTGTTTAATTCTGTATTCGAAGAATCCTGACTAATACAGTACTTCCACTTCAGATAACTTCTTGTATTCATCTCTAGGCTGAATTAAATGAGTTGCGGAGTACCATAATAAATCTGTTGGATCCCCCTCCAGAAGTGTCAGCGCTGATCAATAAGTTAGACTTTGCCATGTCTACCTATCTTCTTTCTGTCTACCGCCTAGAGTATATGAGGTATGGATATGCTTTTTCCACTGATGAATTAAAAAAAACAGCCCAAAACCAAACCAGCCAACAAAAAAAAAACAGCTATGTATATTCAAGTCAGAATTGCCAGACACTAAGACAAATGAGAATCAGTATTTTGGTTCAAAATCCCAAGACTGGGAATTCATCTATGCAAAAATGCCTTTGAGGTATTTAAAAAGGATAGGATAATATAGGAAGGCTTGAAAAACAGAATCTCCTCTGTATAGGAACTAACAGAAGATGGACAAATGAGTTCTTCAGAGGAACGTGTTGCAAGTGTAACGTCTGCTCTGCGCAGACTCTCGTGCTTGCACCTCTGAAGAACAGTTGCCTGTTCTGCGGGATCAGTGTAATGCAGGAGCTGGGATCTTATTGGTAGTGTACGTTTCTCCCCTCAGTACTGTGTGTTAGGTTGTGCTGGTCAGACATACTGAATTCACAGGCTGTTTGTTGGGGCTTGGGTGGGGGTTTTGTTGTGTTTTTTTTTTTTTGTTGGTGTTTTTTTTCCTTTAAAAGTGTATTCCTGCGAATGTGATACTTCCATCATACGCAAATTCAGCAAATGCCGAAACAGTCAGAGCCACAAAACTCTTCTTTTTGTAGGGTGTTGCGTTCAACTGACCAAGATCGCTTCCAAGTTATGTTCTGCTATTTTGAGGATAAAGCAATTCAAAAAGACAAATCTGGTAAGATTACCTGTCCAGGTTGTCTTGCAGCTTGAGATACTTGGAAATTATCTCCAGACATGCAAAACTAAAACAAATAAAGCAATGACATAACAAAATGATTCATATTCACTAGGCTGCTGTTGCTTTGTTCTTGCCAAGAGCACTAGTTTTGTTTTGAAACAGCTTGGTTCTATGTTGGCTGAGTAAACATAAAAGCTTTATAGCTGCTAAGCGTGGTTTATTAAAGCAAATGTAATTCTGATAATCAAACCTGTCACCTCTCTCAATTCCTCAGGCATGATGCAGTGTGTGATAGCTGTTGCTGATAAGGTGTTTGAAGCATTCCTGACAATGATGGCTGATAAAGTAGGTTACGTGGAAACTAAAATTTTGAATTTGTGTGAATGTTCTCATTTAGTTTATGAAAGTATGCTTGGTTTTTTTTCCTGAAAAGCTTCATGTTTCTCTTTGGCATGCTTTTTAGCCTAAAACTAAGGAGAACGAAGAAGAGCTGGAGAGACATGCTCAGTTCTTGCTGGTGAATTTTAACCACATTCACAAAAGGATCAGGAGAGTTGCAGACAAATACTTATCTGGTCTGGTAGACAAGTGAGTATAGATTTCATTTCCCTGTTCCCTTTTCACATTGACAGATCACTGATTACTTATGTAGTTGATGAAGACAGTCAAGTGGATTTCGTGGCTGGTACATCTGCTGAAGCATCTCCTTGAAAACTAACATTCAATAGTATTTTTAACTTGGGCTCTAAAACCCCTGCTTAAATGTCCGTGTCTGCTTAGTATTGCCACAGATGGAGTAAAGCAAAGTGCCCATGAAATAAATGCAATCTCAACTATGAGATAGCTCTTAGAGAGATTTTCACTCTATATTGAACGAGGCTGTTGTGAGCAATGGCAAGCTTTGAGACTTCTGTACAAACTCACCTACAGATGTATATAGCTCTTTCAGCAGCTATATTGCTTAATAAAGTAATTTCCTTCCTCAGCTCTTCATGATTATTGAGTTTCTGAATCCTGTCTTGCTCTAGATTTCCTCACTTGCTGTGGAGTGGAACTGTGTTGAAGACTATGCTAGATATTCTGCAGACACTGTCACTGTCTCTTAGTGCAGTAAGTTCCTTTTTCTTTCATAGAACTGACTTGTTTGTTTTGCATTTATTTGATAGTTATTGAGTTCTTATTTTGGTTTTCTTTTATTATGAAGATAGTTAAAATTTTCATTTAAAATTCTGTGAGGAAGTGC